TTGTTTTAAGAGGTGGCAGAAAGACATTTCGAAATTTGTCTGGCAGGGCAAAAAGCCCAGAATTAAATTTAAAATATTGACAGATGCCAAGGAAAGAGGGGGATTTGCCCTGCCGGACTTAAAATTGTATTATGAAGCAGCAGCGTTTTGCTGGTTGAAAGAGTGGATGCTCCTCGAGAACACAGACATCTTGGATTTGGAAGGTTTTAATAATGCATTTGGTTGGCATGCATATCTATGGTATGATAAAATCAAGGCGCATAGGGCCTTTAAAAACCATATTGTCAGAAAAGCATTGTTTAATGTTTGGATAAGATATAAAGATCTGTTGGAAAACAAAACCCCTAGATGGGTGTCTCCTGTGGAGGCTAAGGCATGGAAGAAACTCAATATGGAGGTCGGATGGCCGAAGTATTGGGAAATGTTGGAACAGGAGGGAGATAAACTGAAATTACAAAGTTACAAGAAATTGAAACCTAAAGTACAAGACTGGTTTCAATATCACCAAATAATGGAGATCTTTAAACAGGACAGGAAAATTGGTTTTCAGGTGGAAAAATCAAAATTAGAGACTGAATTGCTAGAACCCAATACTAAGAATCTGTCAAGAATGTATAACTTGTTGCTGAAATGGAATACACAAGATGAAACAGTTAAATCAGCTATGATTAAGTGGGCGCAGGACATTGGTCATAACATTATGTTTGCTGACTGGGAGTGGTTGTGGAACACCGGTATTAAATTCACGGCATGTAATGCCTTAAAGGAAAACATTATGAAAATGACTTACAGGTGGTACATGACCCCAGTCAAGCTAGCAAAAATCTACCATTTGCCTGATAATAAGTGTTGGAAATGTAAAGAGACTGAAGGTACTTTTTATCACCTTTGGTGGACATGCCCGAAGATTAAGGCTTTCTGGGAAATGATATACAATGAAATGAAAAAGGTACTTAAATGTACTTTTCTTAAAAAACCAGAGGCCTTTCTCTTGGGCATTGTCGGCCAATTGGTGTCAAAGAGGGACAGAACTTTCTTTATGTATGCTACAACAGCAGCAAGAATACTTATTGCAAAGTATTGGAAGACACAAGATCTACCCACTCTGGAAGAATGGCAGATGAAAGTGATGGACTATATGACACTGGCTGAGATGACTGGCAGAATCCGTGATCAGGGAAAAGAGACGGCGGAAGAAGAATGGAAGAAATTTAAAATTTATCTCAAGGACTACTATAAACTTGATGAATGCTAGAATGTCGAGGTTTTCAGAAAGAAAGGGATACAGTGATATAAGATTAGACTAAAGGAAAGATTAAGATGAAAGAGGTTGGGAAAAAATATTTAGAAGTTGCTAAAAAAATATGGACATTGGGATGCAGAAAGGGGGGGGGGTATGGGGGAGTCCCGGGAAAGAGGTTTATGAAAAAATGTTATGAAATTATACGTGTTTGTATGTCTTTTTATGTGTTTGTTTGTTTTAAAAACTTTGTAAAACCAATAAAAAATTTTATAAAAAAAAAGAAGGTTAGATGCTTGCTTATTTGTAGCTGCCTCTGTTGTGTCTCTGAAGGAGCAACTGCTCTGGTCGGGGCACCTCCCAACATAGAAGCACACCCAAAACAATGACTCATAGAAAACTCTAGGGAATGTGGGTTCTTCTGAGGACAGCCAAGTCCTTGGGGGAAGAGTGAGAACTTAGGGATGGAGCTACCTGTTCAGGGGGAAAAAACCAACACACACACACTTGTATTTTGCATGCAGTTTCTTGCCTAAATAAGAGTACAGTGGTACCTCAGGTTACAGATGTTTCAGGTTACAGACTCTGCTAATCCAGAAATAGTACCTCTGCTTAAGAACTTTGCTTCAGGATGAGAACAGAAATCGTGCTCTGGCGGCGTGGCTGCAGCTGGAGGCCCCATTAGCTAAAGTGGTACTTCAGGTTAAGAACAGTTTCAGGTTAAGAATGGACCTCCAGAACGAATTAAGTTCTTAACCCAAGGTACCACTGTATTCCGTGTTGCTTCCTTGTATCTGCCACAAGTTAAAGGGATAGTCACCTGTCCAGGGACTAGGAATGGGGAGAATTTCAATTCAGGTCACATGTAAAGATGAACTTGCCTAATTCACAAACAATGCACAAACTGAAATGCAGCCATTTTTGGAAATTCCAGATTTCGCACTGCAGCTCTCCACCAAGGAATGGTGCACACATGCATATACTAAAGCATAAAAATGTATCTGGGAAAACAACATACAGAAATGTTTTCTGTTAGGGAAAATTGCTTTGCAGAATTGTGAATATTGTATGCAAAATTGCATACAAAATATGCTTATGCAGAAGGAATTTGCACTAAAATGCTGATAATTTTTTGTGAGGACGTAAAAAAAATAAAATTTGCAAACTGATCTGAATATGTGGAGAATTGAAATTAATACTGGAGAAGTGAGAAACTGAAATTGACAGATTTCTGCTATCCCTGACAGGGACCACTCAAATCCTGTAGCTGGACTTGTGTACATAATTGGGTAGGTAGAGAGCACACTGTTTTTCTCTTCCTACCTCTACTCCCTCCCCCAATTATAAAACTCCTAGGAATTGCACATGTTAAAACATCTCCCAACTTTGCTAAAGAAAACCATACACTTTTCTGCCCCCCTCCCTTTTTATTAAATGTTGGAAGTGGGCTGGGATAGCTGCATGAAGGTGAGCCAAAAGGGATTTGGGAGACAACTGAAAATTCCTCAGCAAATTGGAGGAGTAATCTTTGAGGATTAGGAAATCCTTCGTGAGCAAAGTAGCAGGCTGGGAAGACCTCTCTGGCTACGATCTGGAGTGGATTTATGTACATTAATTTCCTGGGATTATGGGGTGAACAGTTTCCCTGACCTCCCTGCCCCCACACCACTCCCCATCACAATTGGAGAGAGATCTCCCTGCTGATATCTTTCCCTTCCAAAATGGAACTCTTCCGTCTCACGACAGTGGTCCAATGTGAAAGCGGTTTTCAGAGAATTTTACAACCGAGCCTCGCATTTGTGATCCAAGAAGCTGGCGGAGCTTGCCAAGTTAATCAGCCCTGGTATTTCCAATGTCCGGGCTGTGAGTGTGGTTGCTTAATAGAGCCAAAATGGTACCATCCAAGTACAAGAAGGCTATATATGTAGGCTTGGGGAGAAAACCAAGTTCTAGAAATGCAAAACAAGCCACTTCCAAGAAGGGATGAGCATGTTCAGTGGCTGTGGAATGCTGAATGCCCATTTAAGGTGAGGATAGGGAAGTGTGGAGGTGAGGGAGTGACATGGGACAGATAAGCGAAAATTGGCGATTTCCCTTTCAGTGGGAATTATCCAATGTATCTATTGCTAGATATGCCCATCTCTGCTCCAAATTCAGCATCACTATAAGAAGAGACTTGCTGGATGGGGTCAAAAGGTCCATCTATTCCAGCATCTTCTCACGGTGGTCGATGCCTATAGGAAACTTGCAAGTTGGACATAAACACAGCAACACTCTGCTCACCTGAAGTTCCCAGCAACAGGCATTCAGGACAGAATGCTGTCATAGGCAAACTCGGCCCTCCAGATGTTTTGGGACTACAATTTCCATTATCCCGGACCACTGACTGGTCCTGCTAGCTAGGGGTCATGGGATTTGTAGTCCCAAAACATGTAGAGGGCCGAGTTTACCTATGCCTGACATAATGCCTCCAACGGCAGAGGCAGTACATAGCCATGGATAGCCTTGTCCTCCATGAATTTCTCTAATCCACTTTTAAAGCAATCTATAAAGACCTAAGGCATTCCAATCCATGGGTTGTTCAACTTCCTCTGTGGTGGCCTTGGATAGGAACACATCGCCCATCCCTTCTCCATCTTGCTTGAGGATGCATTGAGGGATGTCTTTGCTGGCTGCTCCCCCATCATCTAATGCTGCTTGGTCCACCTGGTTAGTTAGGCAGGTGGTGCCTTGGGCGGCTTTCTGCCATGAAGTTCCAGCTGCTCTTCTATTCACATGCCTGTTTTACGGTACCCCTCACATTCCTTGTTTTGAGGAGCAATGTGGAAATCTTCCATTCTTAGATCTCTCTGATTATTGAGGTGTCTTGGAGCACATGCACTGACATTCCAGGTTTATGTGCCTTGTGGAGCTAACCTAACAACCTGGATGTCTTCTGTGGATGAATCCATCAATCCTGGGTATATTATGTAAGGCGTGCCAGACAGTCTGTCTTCCTTCTCACTCATTGCTCCTCTCTGAAGCATTTGATGCAATTCTTGTCCCATCAGCCCTCCCCTGTCATATACAAGTGCCTGTTCTCCTATGCCCATAGGTTTGCCACGTGTCCTATTTTTCCAGGACGTCCTCATTTTTCAGGGGTAAAATTTGAGACAAATTGCATTCATTTGCTTTGAATGGCTGTCATAGCTTCCTCTTTTTTGCTCTTCAAAATATGGCAACCCTGTGACTTGACTCTAAGGACCAGCAAGGGAGTCTCCTGCTGCTCCTGCAAGATCTCTCTCAATAGCATGCAGTTCTATAAAAAAGGAGGATGCGGTAAGCTATTCTTTGTGTGTTTTGAGAATTGCTAGCTGCAATTGAATGCTAAGCATTTATTAGATGGCAAACTACTCAGGAGTTTGGGTACCTACAGGGCAGAGCCAATGAGATGTATTCCCCCCCCCCAGACATGTGCTTCTAGCACCGTCAACATCTGAAGCCATTCTGAACCAGGTTTGAATAAGGGTCAAGCTCAGTGGTTAGAGCATCCACTTTGAATGCAGAAGGTCCCAGGTTCAATCTGAAGCATCTTCAGGTGGGGCTGAAATCCTGGGAAGCTGCTTCCATTCATTGTAGACAATGGCTCGACTCAGTGTAGGGCAGCTTCTTACCTTCCTGGATTAGGAACCGGAGGTTTGAACCCTGGTGCTTGCAGTGGCATGCCTTAGTTGAACACCATCTTGACAAAGATGCTTTCGTGTTGGTTTGACTTCTTTAGATCTGCCCGAAATCAGTGTCAGCCATGTGAATCTGACTGTGTGTGAGGGGGAAAATGCTGTCATCACCTGCAATGGTTCTGGCTCACCCCTTCCTGATGTCGACTGGATGGTGGTAAATCTACGCTCGATCAACACTCATCAGGTAGGATGCTAAATCCAGGTGCTTTTCTGCTTTAATCGCCCAGAGAACTTCTCTGTATATATGGAGGATCCTCAGTTTAATATTAGTTGGCCTTCAATGCCCATCAAATTTGTTAAAGATGTCCACGATGCATGGTAATCTATATGGTAGATTTCTCTTGATCCAGGGGCACAAATTGGCCAAGGGTTCAACAGTTCTTTTGTGTGTATGTGTGCTTTTAAACATTCCTCCCCCTCTCTCTCGGTTATTTTTAGACAAACGCCAACTGGACCAATGTCCATTCCATCAATCTAACCCTGGTGAATGTCACAAGTGAGGACAACGGGTTTCTGTTGACGTGTATTGCCGAGAACGTGGTGGGGATGTCTAATGCAAGTGTGCTCCTCACTGTATATTGTAAGTTAATGGGGAAAGGGAAAGGTGAGGGTTCATGGGAGGCAAAGAGGGAGGGCAATGACATGGAAAGTATTCATTTGTACACACAGCACACCAAAACTTAGATCTGGACGCATGGCAATTCTACACTCGAAACACATTCCATATCTATCATAGAATTCCCAAAGTAGAACTGGGAATTGTTCTGCAAGGGTGCTGAGATTTCTCCAGGGTTCCTCAGAGTGAAAGAGAGGATAATACTAATAGACATGCCCACTCTCTCAACCAACACGCATCTTAGGCCCAGCCAGAGGAGGCTGGTCCAGTAGGGCAAACGAGGCACTGCCCCACCGACCTCCATTTGTCCTCAACTATTCCTTACCTGGGATGTGGGTGGCGCTGTGGGTTAAACCACAGAGCCTAGGACTTGCTGATCAGAAGGTCGGTGGTTCGAATCCCCGTGACAGGGTGAGCTCCCGTTGCTTGGTCCCTGCTCCTGCCAACCTAGCAGTTTGAGAGCACGTCAAAGTACAAATAGATAAATAGGTACCGCTCCGGCGGCAAGGTAAACGGCGTTTCCGTGAGCTGCTCTGGTTCGCCAGAAGTGGCTTAGTCATGCTGGCCACATGACCCGGAAGCTGTACACCGGTTGGTTCCCTCGGCCAATAAAGCGAGATGAGTGCCGCAACCCCAGAGGCGGTCATGACTGGACCTAATGGCCAGGGGTCCCTTTACCTCATTCCTTACCTACTTATGTTTGCATTAAGAGTGATCCAGTTGCTGCCAATGTAGAGATTAAGCACATCCACAACAGGGAGAGGCTGACTAGAAGGAGGCAAGGGCAGAGCAGTAAATCAAACAGAGATGCATCAGGCACACTCCTCTGAAGTTGGGGATTTTGGCCACATGGGAGACTTCAGCATTTGTGGTATTTTCTCTTGGAACATGCTGAACTGTTCTGCCGTGGTTTACAGATTTGGAAATTGCTGCCCAGGAGACTGTTGAGTGTTGCAGCAGCTTCCTACATCTGTAAACGTTTTCCCATGGGTCAAATCCTTGAGAATCTTTCCTAATATGTGCACACTTCCTTAACACCTCTCTGCCCACCCCCAGAGGCTTGCGAATGGCAGAGAATTACCTTCCACGCACCAGCTTGCCCATGTATGCCTGTGTGCTTCAATTTTATGTGCAGAGCAGCAGCTGAGTGGAATTCCATAAGTGCGTAGCGAGATAGTCAGAAATGAAATATTGAAGAGGGGGACGGAAGATTCTCCGCCTTTGTAATGCTCACAGTCCTGCCCAATGGCTAAAAGGTGCATCATGTTCCCCGCTGGGATGCACAGCCAAGCTCCATTAGGATATATGGATGCTCGCCATGATGTACGTCAGCTTACAGCTGTATCGTACTCGCAACATAAGTATTATGACCTGAAATAATAGAGTATGGAGGATGTAGCAGGGGGCCTGTTCTCTACACTGAAAGCCAGTGTGGTGTAGTGGTCAGAGTGCTGGATGAACACCTGGGAGACCAGGGTTCAAATCTCCACTCAGCCATGAATCTCACTGGGTGACCTTGGGCCAGTCACAACTTCTCGGTTTAACCTACCACACAGGGTGGTTGTGGGAATTAAATGAGAAAGGGGAGAACCATGTATGCCACTTTGAGCACCTTGGAGAAAAAGGTAGGATGTAAATATGATCTGTCAGTCAGTGGCGTAAGAAGGGGTGTGCGGTGGGTGCGGTATGTCCTGGGTGTCGTCTCTGAAAGGGGTGACCCCGGGGCCTGGCCTGCAGTGTGCCCGGGCCACACATCTCTCCTGGGGAGAGACGTGGTGGCTCAGGCACCTGCAGGCTCCACGCTGCCCGAAACGGCAACATGGGGCTTGTGGACTCCATGGAGGTTCCACGCGGCATGTTCTGCCCTGGCTTGCCCCACCCCGTGGGCGGCTTGCCCTGCCCCCAGGTGCAGGGCATTTGCACTGCCCTGGGTGCCTAAGCAGCTAGCTACGCTGTCAGTCAAACATTTCTCACCACTCTGCACAGGGGCTATCCGTAGAATGCTTTTAGAAGCAGCCATTTTCCCACTCGGAATCTCACTTGTCCTTATCTAACCTCTTCCCTCCTTGTATTCCATCTCCAAATGTGTGCAGTGATAAGTGTTGGGTACTCCAATGAAGAAAGAGAGTGGAGATATTTGTGAACCTGAATGTTGCGCCAATACCTTGTTGTGTATTGGTTGCACAGGATACCCATAACCTGCATTGAAATTCTACTTCCATGGTGAGGCATGGATGTCACTAGACTAGAACTGCTATAACCCATGACTGTTGGCCAGGCTGCCTGAGACTGGTGGGAGTTGGAGTCCAACAACCCCTGGGAGGCCACAGGTGCCCTGCTGCTGCTTTCCTGCATCCACAAGAATGCCTTTAAGTTGGAATAGGAAGTGGGGAACCCTGTCAACAAATCCTGCCCTACCAACCCTGCCTACCAGCTACACCAACCAATCCTGCCAACCTCCCCTGCCCAGCCAAGCTGGACTGTAGATTCTGCAGGATAGGGAACCTGCAATCCTCTAGGTGCTATCATGCTGCAACACCTATCAGTCCTAGTTAGCATGACCAGGGGTCAAGGGGGGTTCTGGTCCAGGGATGGGGAACCTTTCTCAGGTCAATGGGCACATTCTCTTCTGAGCTACCTTCCAGAGGCCAAAAGTGGATGAAACAACAAATGCAAATTTTATCTTTGGTACAGAAGGCTAGTTTTCTACAAACAGTCAAAAATCCTCTTCATCCAGAGGAAACATTATCAGACACATTCTAGACAGACAAAGACAGGATAAGAAGAAGGGCTAGTGAGAGGGGTGGCCTGGGAAGAGTTCTGAAGGCCAGGCAGAGGTTCCCCACTCATTCTGGTCTAACAACATTGGAAGGTCACTGCTTCCCCACTCCTGTCTTAAATAAGAGGCATCTTAGATTTGTAGAAATGGAAGGGGCCACGAGGGTCGTCAAGTCCAACTTGGATTTGATATCCCGCTTTATCACTACCCTAAGGAGTCTCAAAGCAGTCACAGTCTCCTTTCCCTTCCTCCCCCATAACAAACACTCTGTGAGGTGAGTGGGGCTGAGAGACTTCAGAGAAGAATGACTAGCCCATGGTCACCCAGCAGCTGCATGTGGAGGAGCAGAGAAGCGAACCCGGTTCACCAGATTACGAGTATACTGCTCTTAACCACTACACCACACTGGCTCTCTCTATGGAATAAATGCAGGAATATTTTGCCCAATGTGGGCCTTGAACCACTCATTCTGAGATTATGAGTCTCCTGCTCTACCAACTGAGCCATCCCAGAGCTTTCCTTGCAGCTTGTGAAAGTAGTGATTGCATTTTGCAGGTGGGGGCAGAGTTCAAGGACGGATGTCCCTCACCACGCCAAAGAAAAAAGAGGAGAGAGAGTTTCCCCTTTATATTTTACCTTGCACCCTCAAAAACCTTTTGCAAGTTAGGTCCAGCTTCCCTCCTTCCAAGTTTTCCAGAAAGCCGAGGCTGTTGAGACCGTGCTGTCCTTTGTAGTCTGCCGTTTTCATCTTGCCTTTTGTCTTCCCTTGCTCAGATCCTCCCCGGGTGATCAGCTTATTGGAGCCCATCCGCCACATGGAGCACTGCATTGAGTTTTCGGTGCACGGGAACCCTCCGCCCCAAATCCATTGGCTCTACAACGGCCAGATTCTCAGGGAGACAGAGTTCATCCGCATGGAGTTCTTCCAGGAGGGGGAAGTGTCCGATGGCTGCTTGCTCTTCAACCACCCGACGCACTACAACAATGGCAACTACACCATCGTCGCCACCAACTACCTGGGAATGGCCAACCAGACAGTCAGAGGGCACTTCCTGGAGAAACCCTTTCCAAGTGAGAGACGGACAGCTTGCAATCTTCCAGCTCCTCTCCCCCATCCCTCTTCTTTTCTGTCCCTGGGGAGAAACTCACAGACTAGAAGAACCTCAGAGGGCTCCAAAATTACCAACTCTGATGAGATCTGTGGCTGAACTGAGGCTGTGAAAAGCCTCCCCCCACCCTTAATCTAGGCCCAAGATTTGGGGCCCCAGATTAGCTCTGACCCAGGCTGATTGGGAAACACCTGAGCTGGCCTGAATCTAGTCCAGAGTCGTTCAAGAATCTATTCCTTTTCACTGGGAACTCTGGGCCTTGTAGCTGTGAGAGGCTGAATAGGACTCTCCATACAACTCTCACCATCCTTAACAAACTGTAACTCACAGGATTCTTTGGGGGAAGCCTGGGTTGTGTAACACATACCCTCCAACATTTCTCTGGTGAAACTAGGGACAACCTATTCCACTATTATTATTATTATTATTATTATTATTATTATTATTATTATTATTATTATTATTATTATCCCACCCATCTTACTGGGTTGCCCTAGCCACTCTGGGCAGCTTCCAACATATATAAAAACATAGTAAAACATTAAACATTTAAAAGCTTCCCTATAAAGGTCTGCCTTCAGATGTCTTCTGAAGGTTGTATAGTTACTTCTTGGCTTGTGGGGGATCGCATATCTCCATACCCTCCAACATTTTTCTGTTGACAACAAAGTTTTCCTAAGGAAAAGTGGGACATTGCAGGATCAAATCAGAAACCGGGGTGGCTTCTGTAAATGCGGGACTGTCCCCGGGAAATAGAAACACTTGGGAGGGTCTATTAATGTGGTGCCATAGTGCTTTAAATGTGTGGGGTGAATGTGGCCTGTATCTTTCCCTCTCACTCTTCCCCCCTCTCCACAAGAGGACACAACAAGCAATTTTACATTCCTGTAATCTAGGAGAAAGAGCAACAGGGCCCTTGCAGTGCCTTCCAATTTTGGCTTAAGCAGGCCCCTGTAGAATTAGATTTCGCAGGCATAGGCATGCTTGCTGCCGTCTGGAATGCTGCTTGAGAAAGAGGAACGCCCTTTGCTGTCTCCCACAGCCCTCTCTCCCACAGCAAAATAGGACATTTTGCTATATTTAGAGAGTGCGATACCAATGGTATTCTAATTTATTATTTATACCTCGCTATACATGAAGCCCTCACTGCAGATGAGATATAGCCCATTAAAAGTGGAATCCTTCCCTTGGAGAACAAGCTATCTGTTGAGGTCCCAGCCGTCTTAGACTGGAGCAGAGAAATTATATTTGGGACTTGGAGGCTGATAAGCTTTCTGGCAAAGGACTAGTTCACACAAGCAGCAAATGAGGTTCTAAGACCATTTATGGGCTTGCGCCACTGGCTGGGGGTAGGAAAGTTGAGACTATAGAAAACAACTCCTGGTTTGTGCAAAATTATCTCACCAGGGGACAAGCTATACAAGAACTCCCCCCACCCCTAGCACAACATGTTAGTTCTATGTGTGCAGAGAGGCTTCTTTAAATATGTATATAATGGGGAAAATTTATCATTTATTTATTGAATTTCTACCCCGCTCTTCCTCCTGAAAAAGGAGCCCAGGGTGGCAGTGACACAATCCTGTTTTCAGTTATGCAATTATCTATTTCAGGGGTAGGGAGCCTGAAGCAGACCCTACAAGTGTTCCTATTTGCCATGGACTGCTGTCCCAGTTTCTGATTTGATCCCAGAATGTCCCACTTTTCCTTAAGATGTCCCTATTTTCATTGGAGAAATGTTGGAGGGTATGCAGTTATGTGACCCCCTGAGCCAAGGAGATAAGTACCGTATTTACGCGAATCTAATGCACTATCGAATCTAATGCAGACATCAGTTTTCAAAACCTTGAAACCGAAAAAGTATTTGCTGGCGAATGTAAATGTGCCATCAAATCTAATGCACACCATAATTTTCGTGATGTAATTTGGCCAAAAACGGTGTGCATTACTATAGCTGTCAACGTTTCCCCTTTTTAAAGGGAAATTCCCTTATTCCGAATAGGATTCCTCGCAAGAAAAGGGAAATGTTGACCGCTATGTGCATCACATTTGAGTAAATACAGCAACTATACAAACTTTAGAAGACATCTGAAGGCAGCCCTGTATAGGGAAGATTTAAAATGTCCAATGTTTTATTCAGTGCTTTTCTTTCTAAAAAAAAATGTTTAGGGGTACTCTCATTTTGACTCAAGAAAATCACCATTTTATAGTTCAAATTGGAAGAAAGAAATACAGTAAATGGACAAAAGTACAAAGATCCACAAAATGTTTTGGGGTATGCGTACCCCTGCATCCCCCCAGAAAAAGCACTAGTTTTATTTTTTTTATTTGTGTGTGTGTGTGTGTGTGTGTGTGTGTGTGTGTGTTTTATTATATATGTTGGAAGCCACCCAGAGTAGCTGGGGCAACCCAGTCAGATGAGTGGGGTTTAAATATAGTAGTAGTATAGTAGTATAGTAGTAGTAGTAGTAGTAGTAGTATAGAATAACCCTATTTTCATCAGAGAAATGTTGGAGGGTATGCTGAAGTCCTCCAAATGTTGCTGGACTCCAACTCTCATCAGCCCCAAGCCATGTCATCAATGGTTGAGGATTATGGGTGATGTTAGTCCAACAACATCCAGAGAGCCACAGGTTCCCCACCTGCCTTATCTGTAGTCTAATGTGGCTCAGTCCAGGAACACTTTCCCCAGCTCACTTGCTTCTCTCACCCCCACCCTGCCATATGAAATTGGCCTAAATAGGCTCTGGGCTGTGTAGCACATATTGAAGTTCTAAATTCCACCCACAGCTTCTCTGATTAAAGGGCTCTCAGGTAGCAAGTGACGGGAAAGCCCTACTGCCAGTCACAGTATAGCATACTGGGAAGAGAGGAAGGAACCATATGTACTGGGCCAAACCATTGATCCAGCTCAGTATTGTGCGCACTGAACCTTTTTGCCCCAGCTGGCCAGATCCTTAGCTGGCTCCACCACCTTGGACCAGTGTTGACAAGAGGGTGAGATAACCCACATGCCAATAAACAAATGCCATGGATCAACAGGTGGGTTGTTCCACCTGCCTGTCCAAGTCGGTTGTCCAGAGCTTCACAGACACATGACAGCCAGCTACATGTTGGGTGCTTGGAAACCTCAGCCCAATAGGTTTTGCTGCTCCAGTAACACCAAGCAGTTTCCACTGAAACCTCTGAAAAAAACAGAGGGAAAAAGCTCTGTTTAGCAGTGGCTTCAAAGCAAACTATTATTGCTATTTGAATAAGGTGCCCACCTCACTGCCTATCAAGTGATGGGCAGGAAGAGCATGTCTTGCTCCCGTGAAGGAACAGTGAGGAGCTTACTTTAAGATCCCAATTGTTCCTTTGTAGCCACATCAGAACCTGCCCCACACCTGATCTCACATATGAAATCAGGTATGGAACAGGTGGATGCGGTTTAGATGAGGCTTGATGGGCCAAATTTGGCTGATGTGTCAGTGATTGCCTACTCCTGGCCTACACTAACCAGCTGCAGTTCTCCAGGATTTCAGAGAGTAGGTCAGGCATAGGCAAACTTGGCCCTCCAGATGTTTTGGGACTGCAACTCCCATCATCCCTGACCATTGGTCCTGTTAGCTAGGGTTGATGGGAGTTGTAGTCCCAAAACTTCTGGAGGGCTGAGCTTGCCTATGCCTGGAGTAGGTCTTTCCCAAGTAAACTCAATAATGTCAGGGGTTGACCCTGACATCAAGGCAGATGTTCTACCACTAGTCTGGGTTAGCAGAGCAAACCTGGTGCAATGCAGTATTCAGGGTTCCAGGTAGGTCTTCTGCAATTAGGAAACAGTCACTGTTTTGTAGCAAGTGGATCCACATTTTAAAAAGTCTTCACGATCCCTCCCTCCTCAGGATTCATCCCAATTTGAAATGGAATTGCTATTAACCTACGGCGTGTTCTGAACACAATACGATTAGGGTTCCTCAAATCAAACCCTGTGTGTTCCACTCGCTGGTAGATGAAAAGAGATGCTTAATTTAGCTAGCATGTAGCGTCATACATTTTCTCAGGGGATTAGGCAGTATTTCACACACAGGTAAGCCTCTTGCAGATCAGAGCTTAAGGTGTCATCCTATTGTGCAATGAGGATAAGCTAATGCTAAATGGTGGCTTCAGATCCTTCTTCTAAACTGGCAATTCGGCTGTATTTAATAAAACTTATTGAGCAGCGTTGTGGATGACATACATTTCTATTTCTTTAGTATGAACATGTTATACACATAGCAATAAGACAAAGGGCCTTAGCTCACTGGAAGGGTATCTGCTTTGCATACAGAAGATCCCTGATTTAATCCACAGCATCACCAGACACTCTTCCCTTGGTTCCCTCACCCTTTGATATCTTTCTGCCACTGACTCCCCCCCCCATTTTTAAACTCTTGATAGCCTCTTTTATTCTGGCTCATAGATTCTGCTCTTTTTAGCTCAGTTTTTGGCTTAATGGGTTATTTGTTTTGTGGTGTCCAAACTATTTTATCGTAAGCCCCTCTGATGATGTGCCTGAAGGGCAAGTTATAACTCTGTATTCATCCCATTCCATTCGCAGCACAGGACCAGTGCTCTTTTCCACACACACCCCACTCCAGACATGGGGAGTTGCTGACCTGGGTTCTAAAATCAAGTTGAGATTCTGCTCCCCGAAAAACACAAAATACACCCCAAACCAATAAACAAGCAAACATGAAAACCATTCCCCGCAGACAAACTTTTGTTGTGACCTACATTGAGGTCAGGAAGTGCTGATGTGGCGGATGGTGTCTCAGCATAACCAAATCCCTCTTTGTCAACAGAGCTTTCAGTTCACTGCGAGCTCCACTTGCAACCCTCCCTGGGGGTTGTACTGTCCTATTCTTTGCATTGCGTTCCAGATGCCACTTTTAACAGATAGCACTGCTAAATTATTCTGGGCATCCTCTGTCTTCAAAGCCTTGTCAAGTCCTCTTCGTATCAGGGTGTTTGTGTGTGTGTGTAGTTTGCCTCACGAGTGGATAAATGAAAAGGTGATGTTCTTTCCTGTACCTGTGTAACTTGAATGTCACCCGGAGGTGTTAAAAAGAGTATATATACCAAGGACTCTGACCAGCTGTTAGAGGAAATATTTATTTGAGGATGCTGATTCTCACGAGTCAAGGGCTTATGAAAGGGTGGTGTGTCTGGCTGGATCGTGTTAGCACCAAGATCGTGTTATTTGCACCCCACCCATCTGACTGGGTTGCCCCAGGCACTCTGGGTGGCTTCCAACATCTATAAAAACATAATAAAACATTAAACATTTTTAAAAAACCTTCACCATACATGGCTGCCTTCAGATGTCTTCTATCAATAGGCCTCACAATGTAGAAAGCCTGTTCTAGGAGGTGGTCATGTTCTCCTGTAAGGATCTGCTGGAAGTCCTTGATGGTTTCCTTTAGGGGTACCACCTTGGCTGCATGGCCAGCAAAGACTTCAGCCACTTGGCAGGGTTGGGACAGAGTTGTCCAGCTCACCTGGAAGATGGGGAAGTGCCATAGCTCAGTGGAGCACAAAAGGTCTCAGGCTCACTTCCTGCTGCTTTGAGCTCCTTAGATGAAAGGTGGGATATGAATGTAGATTGTGATCTGCGCCAACAGAAAAATGGTGTGCAGATTTATGGGAGTAATAGTACTGCTCCATTCTGTCTTGGTCAGACCCCACCTGGACTATTGTGTCCAGTTTGGGGCACCACATTTTTAGAAGGATATTGACAAGCTGGAATGCATGCAGAAGAGGGTGACCAAGATGATAAAGGGTTTAGAAACCAAGCCTTATGAGGAACAGTTGAGGAAACTGGGTGTGTTTAGCCTGGAGAAGAGTAGACTGAAACGTGATACGATAGCCATCTTCAGATATTTGAAGGGCTGTCACATGGAAGACAGAGCAAGCTTGTTTTCACCTGCTCCAAACTACAACAGAGGAGATTCCCACTAAACATTAGGAAGAACTTTCTGATGGTAAGAGTTGTTCAGTGGTGGAACAGACTACCTTAGAAAGTGGAATAACCTAAAAGGGGGCAGGGAGTTAGGTGGAATTAACCCATTGCAGTGTGTGCTTGATAACACAAACATGATCTGTATTCTCACCACTTCCCTTTCTCTGATGTTTTACATGTTGCATGTGTTGTTCGGAAAATTAAAATGATTTTAAAAAAATGAATAGTAATATGAATGGTATTGTCCTTTGATAGTGCCATTAACTGTGCCACTTCCTTCTTCTGTCTCTTTTCATTTTGCAGGCATATCAGATGGCATTGTCACATGTAAGTCTCTTCTCATTGATTGAACTAACAATTATTATTGTTACTGCTGCTACAGTTTATTCCATTTTTCATCGCTTTCCACAAATATGTCGCAAAATGACTTCTAAGTCTATAAAAGACTGAACAACTTGGCAGTCAGTTAAAAACCAAATACATAGAAAAAGTGTAATACTATCAGAATTCCTAGAAGTGTTCATCCCACCATTAACATAGAAAGGATTAATCCTACATAACCACAGTAACACAAAAGCAACATGCAAAGTAGGCCAGACACTATACCAAACTCACAACCAAAAGCCTTAGGGATGTCTTAGCCCAGCTCCTAAAAACCAGCAATGATGGCATCAGGTGTGTTAACCTGGGGAGTGCAAACTGAATGCTTTCCCTCACATATGTTGTGCTGGTGGGCACAATTCAGAGTACTGGTTGTGACCAAGCCTCATACGTCCAGGGTATCTGAAGGATCATATCTCCCGATATGGGAGGTTTTTCTCTTGGTCCCACCACCACCACAGGCACATTTGGGGAGGACTTGAAACAGGGCCTTCTCGGTGGCTGCTCCCAGATTGTGGGAGGCTAGGCTGCCCCCTACTCTCCACTTTCCTTTCATTGGAAGGTGACTACATCCCTCCCTCCATACTGTAGGTCTTAGGCTGTTATGGTAGAGTCTTCTGAGGGTAACTGTTTTGGGTTGATTTTTGTGGGGGGTGTTTGTATTTTTGCTTTTTGCTTTAAAATGGTTTTAAGTGTTTTGAAATAACAGCTTTTGAAATAACAACTTATGGTTTTCTGTTGTTGTTGTTTTTTAATGGGAAATATATATAGCCTTGTTTGTTGTGCTTGCAGTATTTCGTGAAATGCAAAACTAACTACGGTAAATAAACAAACATTTATTCTTTTCTCTTTTGGCTTCAGTTGAGTACAGTCCCAGTCCTACTCCTCTTATCACTGTGACACATAAGCCAGAGGAAGACACGTTTGGGGTAAGTTGTGTGGGTTGAATGGTAGGGAAAGTGGATTTGTGTTTGTTTGTTTATTCATCAAATTTATAGCCCACCCTTCCTCCCCAAGGAGCCCAGGACAGTAAAACAATTACACAATTTCAAAGCAAAGGCATTCTAAAGCAATCAAAATATTCTAATAACAATTGCAATAAAAAAACAAAAAAGCTACAGTTTAAACATCCTAAAAACAGTTTCAGGTTGTTGTTGTTGTTGTTTTTTAAAAAAATCTACCCATCCAACGAAAGGTACTCTTCAGTCACTAAATGCCTGGGAAGACAGGAAGACTTTAAAATTACCTGGGGAACCACCACTGAAAAGGCCCTGTCACAGGTCAGTGCCAACTGGGCAATTCCTGGTGGCTGCACCAGCATCAAAGTTGGCTGCTCATAAGGTGTGAAATTGATGGCACTGAGGAAGGAGCTGTTTTAGGGAAGAAGAAGAAGAAGAAGAAGAAGAAGAAATTGTTGTTGTTGTTGTTACAGAATAGGCCATCCCTATTTTCATTGGAGAAATGTTGGAGGGTATGTAGTCTACTCTGAGTAAAAATTAGTTGCCATTGTGTGTGTCATGTAGAAAGCTAAAGCTGACCCTTTCTTTCTGTCATCCTAAAGGGGTGTGTGTGCTTGTGTGCGCGCAGGGTCCATTTCTGCAGCAGAGCTTTCTAACACACACCTCAACACACATTGGAAAGTTGCTGGAAACCACAGAAGAGGCAAGTGCTCTTGGGCTCAGGTCCTTCTTGTGGATTTCCCACAGGACTCTGGATGGGCACTTTGAGAACAAGATGCTGGACAAGATGGGTCGTTGGCCTGATCCAGTAATAATAATAATAATAATAATAATAATAATAATAATAATAATAATAATAATTTTTATTTATATCCCGCCCTCCCCAGCCGAAGCTGGGCTCAGGGCAGCTAACAACAATAAAATAGTACAACATTCTAAAATCATTTCATTATAAAATTAATTCAAATCAAATTGATGGCAACCATTGGGCTAGAGTTCTGTAAAGATTGCCAAAGGAGGGAGGCAGGCTGTGCCCTGACCAAAGGCCTGGTGGAACAGCTCTGTCTTGCAGGCCCTGCGGAAAGATGTCAAGTCCCACGGGGCCCTAGTCTCTTGTGACAGAGCGTTCCACTAGATCGGAGCCACAGGCGAAAAAGCCCTGGCTCTAGTTGAGGCCAGCCTAACCTCCCTGTGGCCTGGGACCTCCAAGATGTGTAAGGCTCTTCTTATGCCCTTACACATGAACACAACTTCCCATCTTGCTGACTGCAGTCAGAAAGAAATGCAGAAAACAACTAGGCAGATATGATAAAGCAAACACATAGAAACATACACAACAGCAACCAGCACATGTATAAATAAAAGCATGACGGTAATCCAAGACTGGGTAAGGCACTAGTCTGCAAGGAACAAAACCTCTCTTTATTTTATGTGATATGTAATTCATTTTTTAAAGGAAATGGTTGCCGGTTGCTGTTTTTATATATATAAACAAGCAAAGCAAGTTTCACAAAGCAGAATGAATATTTTCCCTAATGCAGAAGGAAGAACCCCAGAGAGAATGCTGTCTGTGTACTGAAAAGCCAGGAATAAATATTCTGTCAATATGTGCAGAAGGGAGCGGCTGCCTCCTCTTGCCTCCAACAAAGTGTTCTGTTTTGAGCCAATCCTGCTGCTCTCTTCATCTCCGCCCCCCCTCTCCTTTTCTCTGGCTTCATCTGAGGATCCCTTCTCCAGTGTTTTCATGGAGAAGCAGTTGTTGTTTCTGCCCTTGATGAGTATTTCATGCCGCTGTTTTTGAATATTGTTTCTGGGCCATTCCTTGCACTATGTGGCAGAAAACTGGGTCTCCCTCCAAGTAGATGTTTGACTGGAACTTGCATCCAAATCCTTGCTCCTTGTCATAAGAACACAAGGCTCACCTTAGTGCGGGTTCCAGCTCTCATAGTGGCTAACCAGACCCCTATGGGAAACCTAAAAACAGGACCAGAGTGCAGCTGTGATCTTCCTCTCCACTTGTGATCCCAAGCAAATGGTGTTCAGAAGCAATGCTGAGCTAGATGGGTATATGATTTTTTTTTTGGTAGTATGTTTTTATTTATTTATTTATCTTTATTTTTTACCAACAACCAAAACCTAACAGTGAAACCCCCCAGGCGGCTGATACATTGAGTATACATAATCAATAATAACATATTCAAATCGACCATATGTACAATTCTATATACATTAACACTCCTTGCTCAACAAGGTTTACTTAACTTTTAACATTTTAATTGCCCCTAATTGTTCAAATCTACCCAAATAATTCAATATCTTCTCAAACCAATCCTCTTTCTCACTGACCTTAAACCCTTTCATTCTTTGTATCTTAACAGAAATTATAATATTATTCAATTTTTATTATAATATTATAATATTATTCAATTTTTTCCTCCATTGGTCCACCCCTAGCTCTTCTGCATTTTTCCAATTACTCGCTATAACCTGTCTGGCTGCAGTTACCATCAATTTTACCCATTTGCATTCCTCTTTTGTTTTTAACCCAATGCTACTCAGGCTTATAAGAACCATTAATTTAGATATTTCCACCTTCCTACCCACAATTTCCGATATTTCTATACCAATCTGTTTCCAAAATTCATTAACTAACAGACAATTCCACCACATATGACTGTACGTTTCCATCACTCCAGATGGGTATATGATTAACCCCACATAAAACATTTTCTGATGTCCTAAATCTGCCATCTCCATGGGAGTTGGTACATCAACAGCAGTACTGTTTGTACTGACAGGTAATGGCTGTCCAAGATTTCAGACAGGGGTCTCTCCCATCTTTTCCTAGAGATGCTGGGAGTTGAACTTAGGACTTCCTGCTTGCAAAGCAGATGTTCTACCCCTGAGATATGACTCTATTTATCTCCTTTCTCTTTTCCCTCTTTGCTCTCTCTTCTTTGTTTTCTATAAATTCATTCATTGCTTTAAATAATGTGCACACATGGGCACAATGTTAGATTGTAACTTTGAGTGCAAATTGTTTTGAGTGTTTCAATAATAATATTCAACACAGCCTCTAATGCCTAGGGTGTCCTTCACAGGTGTCCATAGCTGTTGGGCTTGCGGCCTTTGCCTGTGTCCTTCTGGTGGTCCTCTTTATTATGATCAACAAGTATGGTCGGCGATCAAAGTTCGGAATGAAAGGTACAGATTAATCTCTTCCTCTATCCACCAATGAATTATTTCCTGGGAAGGGTGTTGGATGGGACAAGGTGGGGAGAATTATATTCATGCCAACTTTCTGACACTGGTTCTTGGTTTATAAGTATGTTCACGCTGGAAATGTGATTGCGTGTTGGAAACAGGCATTTGTAACGCTAAGTAGCACGAAATCGGGGATCTCTCATTTCATGGTGTTGTGATCCCCAGCAGAGCCCCCAGAAAAAGATGAATGGCTTGTGTGCAGTGGTGATCACTGCTATTAATTAATTGGTTTGTAATGTAGTCTTTGGTGGACTTCAGATTTTAAGATTGCTTGGTAGCAAACAGTGTTTGTTCCACTGACAAAGTGAAACGTTGAGCGATTCTCTTCTTGAAGCCTAAAGCTATAGGGCAGGAAAGAAGGATTGATTGTAAATATGATGAAGAATGTCACGGGTTCAAGGTCAAATCATGGACTGGACTCCCAGGCTTTCTGTCTCTTCTCTAAGATTAGGGACCGTACCTAATTTACACAAAGCTGATTTCTTTTCCACTGGGTCTTCTGTTGCTTATTGAGGCTGCAGGCAGAGTTGGGTGAAGTTACTGGACCATGGATAATCCTAAGTAGACATAGGAACATAGGAAACTGTCTTATCCCATGTTAGACCAGTGGTCCATCTTGCTCAGTACTATCATTCTACAATGACTGTCAGCAGCTCTCCAGGGTTTCAGGCAGGGAACATTTCCCAGCCCTACCTGGAGATGTTGGGGATTGAACCTGGCACCTTCTGCATGCAGAACAGATGCTTTACCACTGGGCTACAGCCCTTCCCCATTTGCTGTCATGAGGTCTGGAGTACAACTGATGCTTTTTATCCTACTTAGACCAGACAGCCCTTTCTAGGCTCCGCCTTCTTCCTGGAAGAGTCTTAACGGGTTAGTCCTCTTGCCTGGAACTAAACCCACCACTAAGGAGGAGGAGGAAGGATATGGAGGGAGAGGGAGTTGAAAGCCAGTGCCACCCCCCTGGACTGCTTGTAAGCAAGAAGGCAGGCAGGTGGGTGGGTGATGGCTGAGAGCAGACTGAGGTTGATGAAGTCGTGACCCAAATGGATTAGCACCCACTGGGTTGAGAGTTTTTGAATGGGAGGTGCAGGACAGGGAAAAACTCATTTATATTCCAAATTCACCCAGCTGGAGCTCTGTATCCACCACTCCACACACTGTAGCTATCACCACAAGTATCTATCAAGGACCAGGGTAATGGGTATTTTACATTTTTCCTTTCAAAGTTTAGCTGTGATTCCTGTGCATTGTAGGGGGTTGCAGTAGATGACCATTGAGCTCCCATCCAACTCCACCATGCTTTGATTCTGTGATGGAAGATTCCTAGGCTGCCTTTTACAACAAAGCTCCCTCAAGGCGGCTTACAGGAAAAACAAACATTAATGGCAGTAAAATACAATCATAATTTAAAGCATCAGCTGAGATGTTTGAAAAGCCACCACATGCATGTATTAATTTCAACTGGCTAATGAGAGCAAATTTTGAACAGACCGTTTAAAATGAGCAGCAAAATGAAGCATTAAAAAAGTTTGTCTTAATACCATGGTGTGATAAATATGGAGGCTGAATAAATTCTCTCTCTCTCTCTCTCTCACACACACACACACACACACACACACCACTCACTTATTAAACCTAAACTGTGAATGACAACTGAAGCTGTCCACAAGTTGTGAGATTGGCCAGTGTCTTGCATGATCCTCATTGACTGTGTGTGTGCAGTATTCAGCTGGTGTTGGGTCTTTTAACAAGGAATAACCGTTCTTCCTTTGATAAGCTCTTGTACCAAGTTGTACTTTCCATTACTTCTCTCGTAAATCATAGCCATAAATGTCCCTCTGCAGAGTTAATTCTTTTTTCTTTTTTAGAGCCTTTTTATCGGTCAGGTTGTTAAGCAGAATCCGCAGTACATGAATGTGCCTCAACCCTTGGAGAGCTCCTTTCCCCCTTCCCTGATTTATCTAGTCGGGAGCTCTGCGTAAGCACAAGGAATGACTGAAAGTTTCCTATTTATTTTGTGGGGGCATTTATCCATGCCACAGCATCTTTGGGACACTTAGCCACAGAAAGTAATTGGGAGGCATTTAAATTGGATACAGAGCCCACAAATTCCCAAATTGTTGTTGCATGCACAGTTGGTTTAATTGCGCACCATTCCCTGTTCATTAGTACTGAGTTAATGCCCATCTGAATCATTTGTTGGCTTAACAGTGCACATTTCAATTTGCCAAGCTGGGTCAGGCAAATAAAAAGACTTGCTTCCTCAGCAGGCCAAGTGATGGCCACTATGGAGCATTATACTTGGGGCAGGGTTTGAAAATGTTTGAAAACTTCAGCTGGTCCAGTATCCCACACTCACCTAGAGAAGAAAAGACTGAGAGATGACATGATAGCCATATTCAAATATCTGAATGACTGACACATTGAATATCTTGGAATCTTAGAACTGTAAAGTTGGAAGGGACCACGAGGTTCCTCTAGTCCAGGAATGGCCAAACTTGGCCCTCCAGCTGTTTGGGGACTACAATTCCCATCATCCCTGACCATTGGTCCTGTTAGCTAGGGATGATGGGAGTTGTAGTCCCCTAACAGCTGGAGGGTCAAGTTTGGCCATGCCTGCTCTAGTCCAACCCCCTGCAATGCAGGATTATTTTTCTTTGCCCAGCATGGGGCTTGAATCCATGACCCCGAAATTAAGAGTCTCATGCTCTACCAGCTGAGCTAAGATGGAGCCACCTTGTTGTCTGCTACTTCAGAGGGTAGGACCCAAACCAGTGGATTCAAATTACAAGGGAAGAAGAAGAAGAAGAAGAGTTTGGATTTAATATCCTGCCTTTCACTCCCCTTCAGGAGTCTCAAAGCGGCTAACAATCTCCTTTCCCTTCCTCCCCCACAACAAACACTCTGTGAGGTGAGTGGGGCTGAGAGACTTCACAGAAGTGTGACTGGCCCAAGGTCACCCAGCAGCAGCATGTGGAGGAGCGGAGACACGAACCCGGTTTCCCAGATTACGTGACTACCGCTCTTAACCACTACACCACACTGGAGATTCCGACTAGACCTTTCTGACAATAGGAGCTGTTCGACAGTAGAACGGACTCCCTCAGAAGGTGGTAGACTCTCCTTCATTTGAGGTTTTTAAACAGCAATCAGGTGGCCACACGCCAGGGATTCTTTAGCTGTGATTCCTGCACTGGACTAGTAGGCCATAGTGAACACATATTCCTAATATTTAAATTGGGGGGTCTCCAACCTTTCAGGGCCGGGGCCACATTTGGAAATCTAAGAAACTGTGATCTTCCGTTTGCAAAACATATGCTCTAATATTGTCTTTCCCTTTTTAAAAAAGAAAAAAGCAGTTACTACTCCTGTTTGCTTATCTCAGTAATCCATGGATATTACAAAAATTTCTTCCTGCCACCTGAAAAATGAATGGAATGTCTGCTCAAATACACCACCTCTGAACTGAGTGGCTATTTGGGGGGCAGGGTGAGATTTCAACTCATCTTTAGTTTTAACCTACAAAGCCTAATTCTTGGATTGAAGTGTCAATGGAGCAAACTTCCCCTATATGTCCCAGCCCATTGTATGAGGCCCTTCAGACATTTGGTTGGAAGTTAGCAGAGAAAAAGCCTTCTCTGTATTGGCCCCTGGTTTGTGAAATCATTCCCCAAATGTGTTCTCCTGCTGCTATGACCTCTCTGTCCATTAAAACTCACCTCTTCTCCTGGGACTGATAATAAATGGCATTAATCTTCTGCTTAACTCTTGTGATCCTTGTGCTTAGGTTTTAGGTTGTATGGTTTTATGGCGGTTAGTTAAAGTCTTTTTGTATTATTTTGAAATTTAGTTGTTAGCAACGTAGCTGCCCAACGTACTGGAAAAGTAGGACATAAAGGGTTCAGATATATCTGGAAGTTCATGAATAGGTTAGGCCTGTGACTAATGCTAATTCTACTCAGATAAAACCCATTGAAAACAATGGATAGTACTTGCAACAATTAATTTCAGCAGGTCTACTTGAGTATAAATGGACATTGATACATCTTTAAATAATGACTTTTTAATTCATTTTTAAAGGTCGTCAATCAGTTTGATCTGAATGAAAACCCTCTCATTCTGAGGCCTTAGAAACCTTAAGCTTATGAGATGAAAGGAGATGTGGGGAGGGGAAAACCATGGAAAAAGAGGAAGACTAATCAATGATTGCTTGCAACACATTTTGTGATGTTTTAGGAATTACATTATCATTGGCTCATTTGGTATTCGTTTCTAATAGCGCCGATCAGAGCAGCTATATGAATGTGGATGTCAAAAGTACTTGCAAAGCCGTTCTGGTGTAATTTAGAATCAGTTAATAGGCACTTAAAGCAAAGTGGCTGCCTATCTGATTATGACTAGGGGTCCTTAATGCTTTCCCCCATAAACATATGGTAACTGTCCTCTGAGCTGATAATCCAACAATGCCAGCATTCTTAAAAAAAGAAAAAGGAAAAAAGCGGACCAACTCTTGCAATGTCATCTTGGAGACATGCGGAAGAGGTCTGGCAGACCCAAGCTGGAGCTGTGGATACCTGTTACCACATCTGGGTTTGCAGTGGGTGTTCGCCACCCCTAAGTGGCTTGTGTTGGACTCTAGAATTGCCAGATCCTGTTTCAGAATAAGCAGAAAGTCTATCACTGTTAACCAGGAAATGATAGAAGACCTATACAGTGGTACCTCGGGTTACAGACACTTCAGGTTACATACGCTTCATGTTATAGACTCCGCTAACCCAGAAATAGTACCTCGGGTTAAGAACTTTGCTTCAGGATGAGAACAGAAATCGTGCTCCGGCGGCGCAGCGACAGCAGGAGGCCCCATTAGCTAAAGTGGTGCTTCAGGTTAAGAACGGACCTCCGGAACGAATTAAGTACTTAACCCGAGGTACCACTGT